TAAATAGAGATTAAAGTGAATTTGAATCTAGCTTATTACCCCCATCCCAATTATTGAAAAAAATAAGAAATTAAAAACTAGTGTTTCAAAAAAAATATTTAAATATTAAGCATAGATGGATTAGTAGATAACTTCTTAGTAACCACTGTTTAAAGATGATAGCTATTTGTTTTTTAAATAAATAATCTCCCTTCTTTTATTCTTCTCCATCCTTTTTGTAGTGGTAAAAAAATGTGACGCAGTAAAAGATCAATAATTTAGAAGGAACCCAATTAAAAAGAATTGGAAGGAATAATTGTATTTAATAATTTTATTTATTCCAAGGACGGTTGGAAAAATTGTTTTGAAAATAATTGTTTGTTTTTCATAAGTGTGATTAGTATAAGTATGAGTTTTGAAATAATAATATTTTATTTCTTTTAAAATGAAAATTGTGAATTTGTGAGAATATTTTGAAAAATTATTTATCCAAACGTATTTCTACATAATTTTTGGTTTAAAAGAGAACATTGTTCTAAAAATAATTCCCCAACGTGTCAAATTTTTACTCATTTTCAAAGAATTATCTTATTTCACATAAAATGGAAACTTTTATCTCAGGACAGTTTTCAGTAGAAATTTTTCAATTGATGTTCTTAGTTGAATTAATTAATCTTGACATTATCAAAATGAATTGAAAACTTAAATGCACCATAGAATGAAGCAGGAATTCAGGTAAAGCACAAAACTCATCTAAAAAGATCACTCCATGTGAAAAATCATTACTAAACCAAACAGTCACTAAATCAAGAACAGGGGAAAAAAATGTATCATCTGTTTCTCATTTGAAAAATCAACAAGAAGAAGCCAAAAAAAAAGTATCCTTTTGTATTTACATTACGAAGATCCACGACTCAAGAAATCAAGATTGTACAAGTAAACTCACTAATACAAAGCTACGTAAAATAACCAAATCTCTGTCCACCCCTTGCGAGCAAATGACATATTTGTTTCTATTCATGTGGGAGAGGCAGAGGTCAAGCTGAACTTCTCCGAGAGCTTGGTGTGCGAAAATGGTGAAAGAAGCTCCATTTGATGAAGGAAATACACGTCGTGAACGAGCGGATTCTCTGTTCTTCGTGGAGGCGAACCCGAATAACACGATGGGTAGCAATTGGAGCACAAGCAATCTCTCCCTTCAACATTCTGCACACAACACATATTCATGAATTTTTCAAAATAATTCCCAATCATGGGAAGGAAATCCATTTTCTAGAAAGGTAATCCGTTTCTTACCTTTCCAGCAATGATATTCAGAATCCCATTTCTTCCTTCGCCACTCGATTGGCTGGTTAAAGTAAGAGAACAAATTAAATAAGATTTTGAAAATCTCTCAAAATTTTCCATAAACTTTTCCATACGTAATAAAACTAAGTTGGAGAAGAGTAAGATGAGAAAGTGACCTGTGGATGCGATCAGCGCATCTGAGAGGGACGAGGAAATTGGGGATGGTGGGTCTAGGACGACGAGGCTTGGGGCAGAGAGGGAGACAGTTAACGTTGTTGTTTGTTTCAGGACTTGAATCGACAAGATTGCTCTTGGTTGCTATATGACGATGCATCATCTTCTTCTTTTCTTCTTTCTTTTCCTTTTCTACAGGTCTCGAGTGGAAAGAAAACGTCAATTATGGAGTCGATAACCCAGGATGAGATTTGATTTAAAGAAGAGAGGGTGTTGAAGTGGGGTGGGAGAGAGTATTTCCTTTGGCCAAGAGAAGTTGTAGGAGCAATTGTGACTAGATGTGTTTATTTGATTTTCCTCCTTGTTTTTCTCCTTTCCTTGCCAATTATTTGGTCAACCAACATTTTTTTTCATAGAAAACTTGACCAAAGTGTCGGTCTCAGTTGGCGAAAATCATGAGCCTCCCTTCCACGTCACACAACTATGTGGATACTTTGTGTTTACAGTCTGCACCCGGGTCGGTCTAAGGCAACTTTGAGTCGTAGACGAAAATTTACATTCAGTCTTTTCACCATTTTAATTAACTAACCTTTCAAATTGACTACTCCTATTTTTTAATTTCACAATTAACTTTCTGATATGAAAATTTTATTGGTATTTGAAAGTACATTAAAATGTGATAAAATTTTAACGTTAACAGAAATTGATAATCCGATATCTACTTTCCAAAACAATTACTTATACTCCAACAGTTTTTCAAAATTTGATATTTTTGAGATCAACTATGTCACAAGAAAGATTAAATAGATTAATAATATTGTCTATTGAAAATGATATGTTAATAAATTTAAATTTGATAATTTAAATCTATAATTTTCTATATTAAAGTCTTCCTACTAAAATTTTGTCTAAGATCCATGTATCATTTGAGCCTTGATTAATTCTACAGTTGTAAATCATAGAACCATTCGAATCTGTACTTAACCCAGATAGATATAAGTCTAGCTATATTACAAATCATCTATCCTTAGAACGGGTATCAACTTTGTTTAAGCATATGAAACGATAGATCTCAACTAGAAGACAGAAAATGGTGCTCTAAACAAGTAAACAATAACACAAAATTATGGGTCAAAATGAATAAATTTCTAGGCAGCAACAGATAATTCATAGTCTAGATTGCTTGAAGAGGGAGAACAAAAATCAATTGCACCAGAAATTCTATATTTTACATTACATGTAACTGTCAGAGAATGAATGAGGTTCCTCAGCTATTATACTTACAGTGCCAAGATACACAATTCAACTAACGTGTGATTTCATGCCAAACCCAGAAATCATGGCTGATATGTGTCCCAGTCAAATCTAGGCTGAGAAAATACCTCATAATCGATCGGCCCGTCTACAACTGAATCAACTGTTTGAATGCCCTCCAAGAGTGTCCGTTGAAACCCGTCGTCATAAGGTAACAGTTTGTACATTACCAGCAACCCAAGTGTGAAAATCGCTTGCAGCTTTGTCGAGTCTCCATTTACCGAGAAGAATAAGAGCATCGAGAGCAGGAATAGATCGACGCAGAACCGCATGATCCCCAGAACGGTATCCATCAACCTTCCGTCGTTGCCAGCAGGGAAGCCACCAACTCTATACACAAATAGAAAGTTATACTTGTCGACGACATATCTGTATCCGAAATACGCTGCGCCAATCGGGACCACCAGTGGAGCAAACGAAGAATATATCATGGTGAGGGCAAATATTGTCAAATTAAATGCGTAATATTGCGCAAAATCGAACTTCTGTTTCGGTGCAGTTGAGGTTATATTGACGGGATATACAGAAAGATCTTGCCCCCTCATATCCATATCAATCAGTCTAGGGGAGTTATCCTGTAGTAATGATCTCTCAAGACTATCTATTTCCTGGTACTCAAAAGGGTATTCTTCACTTTGTTCAGGAACCAGCTGCAGCATGTCGTTTTTCCGAAACTTTCGTATCTTCTTCTTTATCCATGGTATTGGAGCCAATAAATCAAAAGATATGCCCAAGAAAGTGCTGGTGATCAAAAAAGCAACCGAGGAAAGGCATGATCTGGAAAGGAATGATGTACTCATGTACTGCTCAATTCTCTTGCAATCTTCACTATCCAAATAGCATTGTCCCATCCCAAGGATCGCGCTCTCTAAAGATGACTCAACCAAGGCTCTCAGAAGGATGAGGTTTACTAGGAAAAAGCAAACCATCTTGAGAAGTGCAGCTCTCTGCTCCCCGGATACAGTTAGATGTCGTTCAAACTTCGAAAGATAAGAGAGAGCAGATGGGATTATTATATACATACTCACAAAAATAATAACATTGGGCAGGAACTGAAAGATAAGACTGCCCAGCCAGCTAGAACTTTGCACCCAATCCAACCATGACTGGGCGTTATCCATCACTTCAGCATTGATGATTCTCCCAGCACTCTTTACAGCAGTAATCACAGCAAGAGGAGAGCTAAAGAATAAAAGCATTAACAGTAAGCATGTGTTCACAAATAATCTCCTAAGTTTCAGTGAGAGTTTTGTTGATCCCAAATGATTCCAATAAATATCAGTCGCCAAGGGTGCACGATCAACTTTCCATTGGTTTCTTTGAAGCCGTAACTCTATGACAGAAAAGAACTTCCCAATTCGTCTCTTCTTTTCATTTCGGAAATCCATTACTGCTTTATTGGTAGCATAGATATCCTTGAACATAACAAAAGCAACCCCAGCTCCAGGTGCGCGCCCTTCCTTGTAAGCAGCCAGTTCGGTCTCCAAATTGGCTCTCGATTCTTGCAGCCGCCTTAGCCTCTCCTCATTTGTATAACCAAATTTACCTATTATCTGACCCCACAAGTCTTTTACTTTCCTCCAAATGTAACGCATCCAACCAAAGAAAACCTTCAAACAATCACCTCTGCTTTCATTGTCTTCATCTTCATCAGCTACAAGACGAGAGTGCATCTGTGCTACCAACCGCGATATTTCATCTCTAACCTTGACTAATTCTGTGGCCAAATCATCCAATGCGCATAAATCCATAGGCATTATGACCCTATAAACCTTGCCAGGATACTTATGCTGGAAATACTCTAATATCGCATCCCTATCAACCTCTAAAGTTTTGGGAATCCCTTGCACCATTATAGTAAAAATGGCAGTGGAATCGGCACTAGGATCACTTAAGTTCCCATTCCCATCTCTAAATCTTGTTATCTTTAACCTCTTTTCAATTGCAGAAATACCAAAGTGCACAAAAACAACAACAACAACCACAAAAGCAAAATGCACCCAAAGTAAAACTGAACCTTTCTCAATGTGATTGATCGTCGTCTTCGAGAATTGATCGTTCAATACAGCCTTTCCACCATAGAGATTGAGCGGGAGCAACACTGAAACCGAGAAAACCGCAATTGATAGTAACACCGCACAGCTCCCCCCTTCGATCAAAAGAAATTGCGCGGCATCGGCTCCACAATGGCGCGCAATATCCCGGCACGTCGCGTGCCACACGGCAAGGAGCTTGGTAACCAATCCAGAAGGTCCAGGAATTCGACGGTGGTCGCTCCGAAGCTTCACGAAGAGAAAGATGAAGAGGCAGAAGGAGGCGCCAATTATCGAGATATTCAGCAAGTATTGGATGTTACCGTACCACGAAGTAAAATCAGTCGCAGAGTCGCCGCCATCGGAGAACGGAGGAGGAGAGAAAGACTCGACAACAAAGGAATTAGAAGGAACCATCGAGTAAGAGCTGCGTCGGATCTCGGTACGCGGAAATCGAAGTTTCACACAATCAAATTTGAGATTCTTCAACAAATTATGTCATAAATGCAGCGATAGTACCTCAATTCGGACGATAAATAGCTCGAACTCGTACAAATTTGAAGGCCTTAGGGTTTTATGAATCAAAATCATCTTCCGTCCGACATTATAGAGGTTTCCTCCTCCGACTGGGAGTAGGAATTCAAGCAATCACGAACTGGATTCAGTTACGAGAATGACCCTCGAGAATCAAGATGGAAATCGGAAAATTAAAATATTAATTTATTGGGAGACTATAGAATATTAAAAAAAAAACCAAATAAAAAAATAAAAAATTTTTGAAACTGTTGTTTTTCCTTTTAATTTATTTAGTTATGTTCGATTTAGCCAAATATATGGAACTTTGGTCAAACGCCAACTCAATCAAATAAACATGAATGAGAAAATACTAATTAAACTCTTTTTTTTCTTTTTAAAAAATTCCAAAAAAGAGAAAATATCAATTTACAGGTCTTCCCCATTTGGAATTTATATTTTCCTTTTCTTTTTGACTTCGGGAATTTATATTTTCAATCTCTCTGAATACAAGGATTTTTTTTTTCTTGAAAAATATAAACACAAAGATTAGTTGATTGGTCGAATTTTCAACATTCAAATATCTAAAACTTTTTGAGCAATTATAGTTTAAAAGTTTCTTTATTTTATCCGTTAAAAAAAAGTTTCTTTATTTGAAAGAAACAATATTTTTTAATACACCTGTTTGTTTTCTAAAATTCATTTTACGAAGAAAAATCTTAATCGGTAACCACATTTTCGGGGATGATTTTTTTTTTTTTGAGAAATTTTCAGGGATGATTTTAAATACATGTTTTTCTTAGTTAAATAACATGTTTGAGTGTATATTAAAACCTTTAACATTTCGATGGATGATATATATTTTTATCAATTAAATTATGTTCAAGTCAGTAAAATATGTGTTTATATATGGGGGGAGGTTTAATATACAATATTTTTAAAAAGCAAGCAGATATATTGTTGATTTAAAATACTTTGGATTGATTTTCTATAATATTTTGTTTTTATTTATTTATTTATTATTATTATTTGGTTGTATTTGATAGTTGATTTAAATGGTTGGGTTCTTCGTTACGTTATTTATCTACATGTAAATTGAGATACATTATAGTAACGCAATATAGGCTAGGAATTTTAAAAAGAAGTGAAAAATTAAGGATACAAAAATACAAATTTATCTTTATTGAAACAAAAAACAAAAGGTTTGTGTTATTAGGGGCATTTGTTTTTTGCGAATGTAGATACTGATATCTTCAGATGTCTGGAATCTCATATGTTTGGAATTTTAGATGTATGGAATTTCAAATAATCACGTTTGTTTTGTAGGAAAATTTATTAGGATATCTGGAATATTTTTTATAACCACGACAGAATTTATTCATGTGAATATTGTAAATTTATGTAATGTCCAAAAATGCCATTAACAGTCGTCATATAATTATGTTAAATTTAATATTATTTGAATCCATATAAAAATTGTATTTTTATTAATTTAATATTATATTTTTATATTTATGTTTGGTGACTATTGGAAGAGTAAAACAAATGAAAGACTGCACCCTAGATTTGAATTAAAAACAAATTAAGATATTATATCATTGAATAATATCTATTTTATATCTAGTTTATTTTATATCTAAATGTAGCATATATATAAAATTATATTTAGACATTTATCAAAATTTCAAATATAACCCATGACTTTTAGAAAAATACAGAACTAGTTCGTAAAAAAAAAGGGTAAGCCTGGGAATGTGATAGAATAGTAAGTGAATTTTTTTTAGTACAATATGTGGAGTGGGAGATTTGAACTCACGATCTTTTAGTCGGACATATATGTCCTAATCTGTTGAGTCAGACTTAGGTTGGCAATAATAAGCCAACTTAGATATAGCTCAATTGATTAATGTTTATATTTTTGATCAAACCGCTGTAGATTATTCAGAGGATAAATATTTTTTTAGTCTATATAACTTGAGTTTGGTTTTCATTTGATCCATATATTTTAAAATCTTATGTTTATGCCTATGAAGTTTCGATAATTCTCAATTATGACCCTTAATGCTAACTTTCCATTAGTCTTACTGGAGGTGAATTATCGCATGCCACATATCGACATAAAGATCATCACTCGCCAAAATGAAGGAAAGAGCTAGAGGAGGCTTACCGTTGAGAATATTACAAATAGCTCAATAGCCTAAGTCGAGCTATATTCTCCATCTTGACCGACCTACACAAAGGACGAGTCAAGCTTAAAGAGTATCTGTCATCACCAAACAGGATTCCAGACAAGATGCCGTAATTTCCGGACAGTTAGAGAGTTGTTGGAGCGCTATCGAAAGTTATGTCAATAGCTCACCTCTATAAATAGAGATCTTCCCCTCTCACACAAGATACATAAAACTATATTTTTTAGAATATAGATTGGATAAGTACTAACAAAAATGTCAGAGTGTTAACTCTTTTTTATAGGTCATTAGTATCATCGGTCCGAGCCTTTTGGATCATATAGATCGTAGGCCGTCAATTATTATTATTGTTATTTTTATCTCCCACTTCGAAAAAGACCAAAATACCTTCCTTGAATTATAATGGCATCTAAATTGGTATTAAAAAATATAAATATTCGAATGAGACATGGGATGGGAGGTATGTATTGGGCCGACATACCATATTGAAAGCCCGCTAAACAGAGTGGCATTTCTCTAACAGCGTCACGGCAGGCAAAATATTATCATCACACATATTTTTATTCGTGTTACTTGTACATTGGTATTAAAAAATAATTTTTTATTACAATCAACATAATTTTATTTTCGCCAAAGCGACATAGCTCGGTCGTAATTGACATATATCTTCAATCAAAAAGGTTGTGAGTCCGATTTCCCAATCCCACGTCTTATACTTAAAAAAACATAATTTTATTTTCTACCACAAGTATGGTTGATAATTTAAATTTCTAATCTCAAGAGAAAGAGCGGCTACCTCACCTCAAGACTTTGTATTATATATGAAAAAGGCAAAATATCGTCCTTTTTATTTCAATTTATATGTTGTTATTAACTTATTATATATAGATATTTGTTTTCTATATAAATTATTGTACCGATATTTTTTTTTCTCTCCGTAGATATTATCAAATTTTAGAGATTTCATTGTTTTTCTTTTATAAAATTTTAAGTTTGAATTTAGTAGACTGTAAAGAAGTCAATAATTTGAAGATTAATGGTATGAATTTTATCTTTCTTTAACTATAGGATTACTACGTCCTCTTAACAAAAATTTTAGATTCGTAACTGCTCAACCGAACTATATTTATAAGGCATCATTGTCTTTGTCGTAGATTTTTAGGTTCAAATAATTATCCTCTATTTTGTGATATAATATTTTTTAAAAAGTTCTGAGGATCCAAAATTTTATAATTAGAGGGGCTCAAATTCTTTATTTAAAAAAATAAAAAATTGGACAAAAAATATAAAAGAATAATAATAAACAGGAGGGGTAGAGGCGAGCCAACAACTTTAAGTATATATATAATAAAGAAATTTTAGAAGAATTAGCACAAACTTCATAGTTGACCACCTCCACCTAGTCAGGATATTCAAATTCTACTAATATCTAGATAATCAAATATTACAAGATCTATAGTCTATTTCACATACATATTTTTCGATTAAAAAGGTCATAGATTCAAATTCCTACTCCAACATATTGTTGTCCTAAAAAATATATATTACAAATATCAATAGGTCGTCAAATCTGTTCTTAAAGTGTAGAATTATATAGTTTGAAACTTCCAGTACTTTTTATTTTCCATTTAAATACTATTTTGGTTAATGTATTTTATGTTTTAGTTCATTTTGATTAATGTACTTTCAAAACATTTACTTTGAGTATAACATGTAGAGGCAGAGGATCAAATTCACAAACTTTTGGTTTGAGATATATGTCAATTACCATTAAACTAGGCTCGCTTTGGTAAAATAGTTACTCTTACAAAATATAGAGACCACAACATATATTTTAAAGTACAGGGATCAAAATAAATCAAATGCAAAGTACAAAGATTAAGTTTAAAAAGTAAATCTCTAACTTTAAATAAGGTAATAATACGTGTTTTTTAGTATTTTTGTACTAAACTATACTCCGATTGAAGCTTAGAATTTGACAGGGAAGTGGTGATATGATATGAGAAATTGAAGATGATCTCTTTAAGATGGGGGCAAAAGGGAAGTGGGGGTTGGCTGGGTTGGTGGCGCGACCACGGGTTTAACGCGCCCTTCGTTCTGCTTCAACAAAAAAGTAGTGCTTATGTTCGCCACTGAAACAAAATCCAAAACAAACCATCAAAACAATAGCAACGCCCATTTTTCAGCTCAATATTTGGCCTCTATATGCCAATATTTTAAAATGTCGATCTGGAAAGAAATATCGAACTATCAATTTCATAGAAATATTGATGTCGATGAATATTTATGAAAAAATTAAAAACTCGAAAAAATATTTAAATTAACATATAATTGTCTCACCATTTCTAAATAAGTTAAAACGACTAACGTTAATATTATGTATATGTTAGTGAAATTTTATTGATATTCTTCCTATTTTGTCGATTCTTTTTTTGTAGTATTATGAAAATGTCAATTTACCCCTTATGTTGTATACACACATATATATATATTACTATTTTTAAGATTAGTAAACAAAAAGTATGCTCGATTCTCGTCTTGTTCTTTGTCGTAAATTAGGATCGCTCGCTAGCTAGGTTAGAATGGAGACAACCTTTTATGAGAACATATTACCTTTACTGGGGAACAAGGGGCGAAACGACTGCATATAATCTATTTACAATTGCCTCGGAAGAAAAATGTTGTTGTAAAGTATGTTCTTGGGATGTTTCACACATAAATCTATTATTTAAAGAGAAGGATTTTCATCACTAAACCAATGAGCCTAATGAGTAAAGTAGTGGCAATGAACATCAAAATGCAACAATATTGTTTATGGAGAAGAAATATGTAGAAATCACGAGTCTTACTAAGAGGTAAAGAAAAACCAACAGAAGAACAAATTTAACCGTCTTAAGTGGTTTCAACCCCATATGAGAAGAAGACCCACCAAAAGCCTTGTATGTCGAGTAGCTAAAGAATATATCATAGTGAAATACGAACAATAATATTTAGGTACAGTACTCATCTTCCTACCGATCACAATTAAAAATTTAACACTTCTTTTATTTTTTATTTTTTGAAAAATAGAAAAAATATCTTTCTATGCATTTTTATTTTCTATTAGTCAAATTATTAAGTATAAAATTGATGTTTACCAATAAAGTTGTAAGTATTCTTGAAAAAGAAATACGCGTTTTTTGTCTTTAGTATTTCCCGCCGGCCGCCGCCAGGGCTTTTCCCAGTCTCCATTTGCCACCATCATCGTATCTTCTAATCGCAATTTCTATGAAAGGGACGGAGACGGACGGTGAACTCAAAAAATAATAAGAAGATAATATAAATGGTCGATTTGTTGACTAAATGGATTGGTACAAACTCCAAAGTCCCGGTCCCAATTTTAAGTTTTTTTTTTTCCCGTAAGTTTAATAATTATGAGGTAAAATAATTGATATTTAAAATGATAATATAAATATTTTATCTACCGTGTTATATTTAATTTAGATCGATGAACTTTGGTTCTTGAAATTTGAATATTTGTGTTTAATAAGTTATTCGATTTTTAATTTTGTGTCTAATAGGCCTTTAAAATTTAAAAAGTATTTTATAAATCATAAATTTTTAGGTTAAGCAGAAAGTGATAAAATGATCACAAAATAATGATATTTAAGAATCCTAATGAACTATATCGCGTTTTGACTAATAAAATGTTTAAATATACCCACCAGCTCAACATTGATGGCTACGTAGTTAATCGTCAACTAAAAGATACAACTTAGATAACAAAGTGTAACTTAAAATCAAAAGATTTTAATGGACTGCCTCAGATAAATCTACCGGACATAATTAAAAATTTGCCTCTTATAAATCTACTAGACATAATTAAAGTTTGATGTCTTCCTACATAAAACCCGTAGGTTATGGGCTTTTAAGACACTATTTTAAGAATGAAAAACTATTCTAAAAACCTATTAAATACGGTAATAGAAATTTAAAAATTTATTAGATATATTAGACACAGCTCTAAAAATTTATAAACTAAACTTATAATTTAAAAAATAAAAATGTATACAATATCAACTAAATTATGTAAATTGGTCCAAAATTGCATTTACCTGGTTTTATCGTTTTCACTCTCCAATTAATGCATTTGGTTTAATTATTATTTTTTAATCAATACTTTGGTGCAGTCTCCTTATACCTTACAAAGTCCTTTTCATTTTATCATTATTCTTATAGCATAATGAGTAATTTTGAACATATAACTCTTCATAAAAGGTCAAGCAAATCAATCTTAGATATAAGTAGTATGAGATTATATTCACATTTTGAATAAAAAGATCAATACAAAATAAGTTTGCGATGAGGGAGAGAAATAAATCCGATAAATAATGAATTAAAAAGAAGAAAAAGAAATGTCAACATCGACAGTTAAGTTTATTTTATTTTTTATTTTTTAAAGTTGAATGTTCAATATCTCATCTTTATATATATATATATATATATGTATATAAAGACTATCTATCTTCATATATATATATATATATATATATAGTATAAAAGTGGAGGACCGAACTCATAACCTCTTTATTAGAGATATATGTCAATTATCGTTGAGCTATGTTCGTTTTGACCTTTATCTTCATATTTATTGCATAAAAAATATAAAAATCTACTGGTAAAGTCAATGGGAGGGCGTGGGGCGAATTATATACGAATGGAAAATAAAGAAGAAGAAAGGGAAAATAGGGGAAGGCAGTTGAAGAAAAAGGGTAACACGTGCCACGTGGCAAAGTTGACCGTGAAAATAGGAGACACGTATGCAAATTAAAAAAAGGTCACAAGAAGAAACCCCTGGGCGGTAAGAGAGGGATTGGGGCATCACAATTCACAGACACGATGGACCTCATTACCAATAACTCAACCAACACTCCCACATTTTTTTTTTTAATATTTCAGTTTAAATATTGTTTTACTCAGTCCAATTTTAATTTTGATTCATTTTATTAACCCTCTTTTTCATTTTAATGTCAACTTTTAAAACGCCTATTTTGATCTCTCCATTCTAATATGTTTTATAAAAACTATATATCATTATTTTAAAATTTTTATTTATAGTCTAAGAGGTCATTTTTTTCTTTTTTAACTACAACAATTATAAAAAATAAGGAAGAAATGAGTTAGGTGTCTTGTAAATTTTTTTTTTCCTTTTGGTGGAAGTCTTTTACTTTACTCCCATGGACTATTTTTAGAAACTTTTTTTTTTCCTTCAAAAACCAAAAGCTCAATTAATTATTTTAAAAAATATCTCCATTGCAAACAGCTTTTGAAAATTATTTAATTTCATAGAAATCTTCTCCATACCAACAGTCCCACATTTATCTTATAAGAGCTTGCAAAATAATAATAATAATAAATAAAAAGAACTAACATGGCCACACAGAGAAAGGTACAAACTTTGAAGCAAAATTATAATAAATAATGGTAGTGATCAGTGATATTGTTCTATTCCATTCTTCCCCTTTGCATCCACTTTCTGTGTCTCTGGTTCATATTTGTGGAGCCCATTGAAACCCCATATGCAATTTTTGCCTTTCCGCCATCGCTGTTGGTTTTCCTTTTAGACGAGTTCCAGGTGCCACTGTCACACCAAAGTATTTCAGTTCCGTTTTTCCTCTGAATCTCACTTCATTTCTTCGCACCGATTGAGGGTTTTTCTTCTTCTTCTTCAATTTCCATCGTGCCCCAGAAAACGGAACAAAAAGTTTTGGGAGATTTTCTATTTTATGGTGGCCGATGAATTTCAAACCCCTGTTTCCTACTGTTTTCGTTTCATTTAATCTGTGGATCTACCGCTTTTCGAACCCACGTGTATTGCCCCGTCTCTTGTAGATCTCTATCGTTTTCGTTTGGTGTCATTTAGTAGCTGACCGAACTGATCGAATAGCCTAATTTTAGAGTGAGTTCATATTCCTCTTTTCATCGTCTCTTATTTCTGTAGTTCGTACTCGTCGTTTAGTCTTCGGAATTTAGGTGTGAGAATGAGTTGGTTTCTGATTCGTGTGCTGAATGTAAATGTTGGATTGTGTGTTTGCTGCAGCTCTTTCTTAGTTTCGATATTTGGTCAACGTATTACGAGAGTTTTTGTTTTCCTGTGTTGAATTTGATTTGGAAGCAGAAGAGATGATGGGTTTCTGTTCCATTTTGTGTTTATTGTAGTTCATCGAGATAGTTGACCGAAATATGCACTTAGAGGAGCCAATTATCAGATTGAGGAGTTTTTTTGCTTATTGAGAGTGATTTATTTTCTTCTAATTGGTTTGTTGGTTTGCTGGAAAAGCGGGCTGGTGGGGGCTTTTGGACAAGAATGGTACTGTTATCCTTTTTGAATGTGGAGTTAAGGGGTTGGCGTTGATGAAATGAGGGATGTTATCCAGCTTGATGAACTTTCTGAGGGCTTGCTGGCTGCCGTCCTCGGACAATATCGTACACAGCGGTTTGGATTCAGCAGGGGGCCGTCATGAAGGGCTGCTTTGGTACAAAGATATAGGACAACACGTGAATGGTGAATTTTCAATGGCTGTTGTCCAGGCCAACAACTTGCTAGAGGATCAGAGCCAGATCGAATCGGGTCCGTTGAGCTTGCTTGAATCCGGCCCATATGGAACCTTTATTGGTGTCTATGATGGCCATGGTGGGCCTGAGGCATCAAATTACGTATATGATAATCTTTTCCAGCATCTGAAAAGTAAGAACTCGTGTTGTAATTATGATTGTTGGACTTGGGGTTTAAGATTTAAAATGAGTTCATGTTCTTTAGTGTAATTGAGTCTGAGCTTTTCATTTGAAAATGCAGGGTTCACCTCAGAGCAACAATCAATGTCATCTGATGTGATAAAGAAAGCATTTCAAGCTACAGAAGAAGGCTTTATTTCTCTAGTGACCAAACAATGGCAAATGAAGCCCCAAATTGCAGCTGTTGGTTCATGCTGCCTGGTCGGTGTGATCTGCGATGGCACCCTTTACATAGCCAACCTTGGTGATTCCCGTGCTGTGCTGGGAAGGCTCGTGCGGGCGACTGACGAGGTTATTGCCGTTCAGTTATCAGCAGAGCATAATGTGAGCATAGAATCCGTCAGAAGTGAGATGCATTCTCTACACCCAGATGACTCCCACATAGTAGTTTTGAAGCATAATGTATGGCGAGTAAAAGGCTTAATACAGGTAACTTTTTTTATACTGCCAAACACGAGGATATAATTGTCATCTTAAGTATTGTGAACGAAGTGTGAAGCATGAAGATGAATGCGTTTTTAGGCTTTGTTATAGTCTTTTGTATGTTACTGAACTATTGAGGTCAGGCCTTGAGCCCAGAGATTTCTTTTAGTGAAGACAAGAGGGGAAAAAAACTGTTGCTCTACACTTGCTTATCTATTGGTTTGTCAGTAAAGAGCTCTGTTTTTCACTTCTAGCAAGTTCATCTTCCTCTCTCTCCCTCTCAATTAGAAATGCTTAAGAGGTCCTTGTTTCATTATAGCAACATTTGCATGGATGACGCTGTTTCCTTAACGTAAATTTATCTTAAATTGTCATACAAGGCGTTTTAAGCATGTCTTCGTCCAGGTTTCCAGATCCATTGGTGACGCGTATCTAAAGAAGGCTGAATTCAACAGGGAACCATTGTATGCTAAGTTTAGGCTCCGCGAACCGTTCTCTCGGCCAATATTGAGCTGCGAACCATCAATTTCGGTGCATGAACTTCAACCACATGATCAGTTTATCATATTTGCCTCTGATGGCCTGTGGGAGCACATTAGCAATCAGCAGGCCGTGGATATCATTCAAAATAATCCGCATAATGTAAGATATTTATCTCGCCGTTAATGTTGATTGTACTTGAAATGTATTTCCATTGCCAAGGAACTGGTCGATATCTGAATCTACTAGTTATCTGCTCATCGTGCTGTGTTTCTGATTGTTCCCGTTGTTTAAAGTTGCATTATGCTCATAAAAAGTGGCGGTGAAAAGCTAATTGGGAATGGAAAAGCCAAATTTAAATCTTCTGCTTTTGTTCATGCAGGGAAGTGCTAAGAGATTGGTGAAGACTGCAATGCAGGAAGCAGCTAAGAAACGAGAAATGCGATATTCAGATTTGAGGGAAATCGACCGTGGTGTCCGCCGCCATTTTCATGACGACATCACAGTCATAGTTGTGTTTCTTGACTCAAATCTCGTGAGCAGAGCGAGCTCAGTCCGAGGCCGTACTATGTCTTTGAGAGGGAGGGGGGTTATCCTACCTACAAAATCTCTAGCCCCTTGTGCCACACCTGCAGAAACTTAACACAATCTGATGAAGCTGACCACTCTTCTTCTAGCTGTTTATGTACCTACCTAGTTCTGGGTCTTCAGAACTTCCATGACCCATCAGCAAATGAATATCAAGTATAAGTTAACACAAGAAGGTTCAGTAATTTTTTATTTTTATGCATGATTTAACACTTAACATGGCATGTACTCTATGTAGTTTCCAACAATTTGAGCAGAAAGTAAAGGAAGAACCAGGGAAATAGAGCTTAATCTAAGGTAGCCTTCTTTTTCTTCTAGCCAAGAAGATTTTCTTTCATTTCATTTCATCTTTACATTTTCAAAAATTTTCCCTTTCTTTCTTCCCATTCATTTTGGATTACATTGCTTGGGCTCTATAAATTCTATGGAAGAAGTTGAAGAATTATTCCAGAAAATAGAAGCTTCTGTTCTGTTCCTGAAAACTGAATTGTCTGCACCAAATGTTCAATCAACTATACAGACCAGAGAAAAACCGAGCTGAACCGAATCTGGCCCGGTCTATTTTTATGCATCTTTGTCACAATCAGTTCTTATTTTGTTCATCATTTGCAGCCACGGGCAGCTGTTTGATACTTGTCTGATCGATGTCGATGCAGAGACTATTAATCTCCAGGCACTTTAAGCTTACACTCTTGAATGCAAAACCATCCATTTCGACGTGAAACTTCTCGAGTTTGATGCCTTCAATGCTCACTAGGCTTTGAGAGTATTCAAATTCCGTCGACCTGCCGAACCAAAGATCCGTTGATTTCTGCCTCGGAAGTTTCGTCTTGTTGATGAAGTTGTCAGCTACATGAAGAGCTTCCTCTAGCTCTAGCCAAACCTTAGTCATGGTTGGGCGGTGTTTGGGATGTTGTGAAGTGCATTGCAGTCCAAGTTGCCCCATCTTTAGCATCACTTCCATGTCACATGGCTCTGCAAGAAGATTTGCATCCAAAACCTCTTCAACTCTGCCTGCTTCTAAGCTTGGTCTCGCCTGCAATTTCACGATCAATTCAAATTTCAATTCTCGAACTTAAGATATTAAACTCACGCTCCAAAAGGCCTCCTAAAGCTCTACACATTTCAATTTGGGTATTCTAAAATAGTAAATACAAATAGATGCATAGGGAGAGGTTGCTTGCCCATTCAACAATATGGCAATCAGGGAGGGGTTGGTTGGAAGGGAGGACAGGACGAGCAGAGACGAGTTGCAAAAGAATGATGCCGAAGCTATAGACATCACTGAAGGGAGTCAGGTGGAAGCTAGAGCAGTAGGCGGGGTCAAGGTAGCCCGGTGTGCCTTTGATCTGGCTGCTCACATGCGATCGATCGCCAACGGGGCCCGATCTCACTAGCCCGAAGTCACAAACCTTTGCCTCAAATCCGTCTCCGATCAAGATGTTGCTTGGCTTTATGTCCCTGTGGATTATGCTCTCCTTCATCCCAATGTGCAGATGAGCAATCCCTTCAAAAAAGTATACACACATTGTTGAATTTCTTTTGAATCTACAAGATTTTGCACGCTAGAGTTGATCAAAATTTGATTTTTTAGGCTCTGCAAAAGCAATTTCAATACCTCTGGCTGCTCCAATAGCTATGTTAACTCTGTGTCTCCAAGTCAAGCTTCTTCCTTCACGGCCTATGCAAAAAAACCACAGCTCACAGCACAACAAAACTTGATCAAATATTTATATATATTAAGAAAATGACATGAAATTATTATATAAAATTTACCAATTATGTAATCAAGCAGCGATCCATTTGGCACGTATTCATAAACCAATATTCTCTCACCTCCATTCTCTGCCAATAAATTAATCAATCAACTTAAAATTTTGCTAAGTTTGCTCTAGCTTCTGATCTAATTTTGAGGTGTTGTGTGATTATAATTAATAATTATTGTACCTGTAGTTTCTTCACAATATCCCACCAGAGCTACAAGGTTCTTGTGCTTTACTGATGACAGCAGCTTCACTTCTGTTATCAAAAACCAACACTTAGAACTAAATTAGGACCTCAACTTTTTTGAAGTTTTCATTTTGATGTTGTTCGAGAAATGATGTTATAAAGTTGTTTTTAGATGTTTTCATTAAGGGGCACAATTCAATTGGGTGTCAAGGAAAGAAAGATTATGTGTTTACGAGATTATGAGAAGTTCGAACCCAACTTAACTTTTTATTTTGATATTGTGTAAGCTAAACCAAAAAAAATTTAAGTTGATAGCTTATATATTATTAAACGTCATTGTCCATGAAACGTATGTATTCGAACGTCAAACAAAAGTTGTGAGTTACAATGGTGTGATCTCGTTAAATTTTAAGATATAAACAAATTGTTCTCAAAAGGCATGACCAAAAAGTGGGTAAATGACTATTAGCAAGAGGGTATGCAGGACTCAAACTCATGATATCTTAATGTCGATTACCGCTAAGTTAAGTTCATGTTGGCTACAATTTTGATCCTTAAACTTTGAGTATGATGTCTAATAAATCTTCGAGTTTTAAAATGTGTCTAAACATCTTTCAACTTTCAATATTATGTTTAATAGATCTTTAAACTTTAAAATACATTGAACAAACCTTATACATTTCAATTGTGTCTAATATATATCCTTCTAAACTTTAAATTTAATAAATACTAATATATTAGTCACATTTTCAAATTTCACGAACCAGACTGTGAGACATGTCCTAATCTTTTCTAAAAAGAAAAATAATCACCACCCATCTAAAACTAAGTAGCGGTGAAATTTTCTCTTTTTTCTACATTTTCCTCTCTAATTTGTCAAAATTTTAACGATATCGATAGATATCGATAAAAAGATAGGTACTATCGAATAAACGTGTATTATTGTTAAAAAGAATAAAAAAAGTAAATATAAAGGGGAATTAGAAAGAGGAATATTTGTACCATTTCTGAATTCTTCAACACTTGTGTAGGAATCAGCGTGCGGTCTCTTTATGGCCACAATTTCTTCACTCTCAAAAACGCCTTTATAAACATTAGCGAACGAACCAGAACCCAACAAAACTTCGCTACTGAAATTCTTCGTCGCCTTCTCCAATTCCTCGAATCCGAACCTCCTCAGCTTCGTCCTGCCACTCTCATCCCTCGGCCTTCCTCTAGGCTTCCGCCGCGCCTGCCGGAAACTCGCCACGATTTTCCGGCCAAACACACACAACAGCAACGCGCCCAACGACACCGCCACCGCAACGCACACCACAATTACTACCCCCAGATTTCTCCGGTGCGATGGCGGAGTATCCACCGCCGACTCCGCCATTGCCGCCGGCGAAAAGGCCGCTGCTACGGCGAATAAGCCGATTTCTTGAGCGAAACGTAAACGCCGTCGTACAAGAAGATGTAAAAATTGCTGTTCTCGAGAGAGTGTCATGTTTGAATCTGCAAAATTAGGAGGAAGCTCAGTGGATTTAAGTTGAAGGATTAAAGAAATCAGCGAAGACCGAGTCGTTTTCTTCTTCTTCTTCTTCGCTGCAGGACGGCACACAGAGACAAAAACATAGGGCCATAAAAATACATACATAAATGGTACGTGTGCGTTATGGATTAATTTTATGGGACTAATGTGTCCCCAAATATTAAAATCAGAGTTATCAATCCCGAAAAAATGTTTTGTCCTTGCAAGAAAAAAAGAGACTACTCAACGTATCCAAAAAAAGAGACTACTCAACGTATCCTACAGGAATGTAAACTAATTAAAGATATATGGATAAATTGTATCCCTATGTTTCGTCTTGGGAGTGACTAATTGATAAGACTGGTGAAGAAGAACGTAGAAGAAGCATAGCTTGGCAGATTTGGGAAATGAGAAACAAATCAATTTTCAAAGGTGTTCATTAAAAAACTAGAGACATTCAATTGGCGATTGACAGATACATAATCAACAGGTCGAAACACAGATCTAGAAGGAAAGTCGACAAACAAGGACTTGCAACTGACAAGGCGAATTGAAGACAATACAGGAGCCCAATGGAAACCTCCCACATCAAATTCATGGAAGTTAAATACGGATGCAGCATGGCGAGCTCATACAAACACCGGCGGGATTAAAGAGACAATTTTATAATTAAATGAATCCCAATTCCCACCTAACGTAAACGACAATACACAATAATACATGCTACACGATCATATAAATTCTCTTTTAATACCACAAATGGAGAGTCAAAATGAATATAATTCAGCAGTAATTGACTATACTCTTCTGGGACAACTTAATTCATCTTCTAAATTTATGATCAATTTACTCAGTATCATACCGTGTAAGTTTATTGTTACCTAATTTTAGAATCTACTCATGGTAAGATATAATTGAAAAATATTAAAATATAAGGAATTAAATTTAAAAGACGTTCAAATATTAAGAGGGGTAAGTTATATATTTAGCTTATATAATTTCAGCTTAAAAATATATAATTTAAGTTTAACTTTAAAGAAATAAATTTGAAGTTTAAATTGACAAATTGATAATAAGAAATAAAAGAAATCAAATTTATTTAAAATTAAAAAAGAAAATTAGAACAAAAGGTACCTAACATATAAAAAAGTTAGAAAAAGAAAAGAGATAATTCATGAGACATACTCCTTCCATTCACACTATAAATTTTCTTTATAAAATAATTCTTCAACATTGTTGGACCTGACTATGGAAAGCTAAAACAAATCTAGTTGTCAGACGCAGTAGAACATCTACTATAAATTGATTTAGCAGATCCAATAACATGATTTAATTAAAAGAAATAAAGTCGAAAACATATTTTGAGAAAACAAAGAATACTACCTTTAGAAAGCAAGATAGCTTTTTAAGAGAATTTTTTTCATTCAACCATTTTAAGGTTTGATCTATTTAATAGATTTGGGCCAAGACAATTAAGAGTCTCCTTTACTCACTAAGACAATTAAGAAATTAAAACGAGTTATTTTGTTGATTCCATTAAATAATAATAGATAAATTTTATTATTAAAAATCATATTAAATACTTTAATTCTAATTTAAGTGAACAAAATAAAGAATCAAAATGAATTTTGAAGAAATTGGGAGTAAAAATAAAGAGAGAAGACAAAAATAGGAAAATGGCTTAAATTTTAGACATCGCAATAATATGGTACGACTGAGCCTCGCTGGCAGATTACTACCGCCATCTGTAAATGCGAATGCGATTGCCTTTGTTCATAGTTGGTCGAGAAATAAAAAATGTGTCAGCTTTTCGTTGTCTGTAAAAATCTCAAATTTGCTCTCTTTTTACTTCTGAAAACTACTTCAAACAACAAATTCTGTAAAAAAAAAAACCCTGTGTAATTTGTTAATTACTCACAATCTTATCCAAATTCCTCCCCGCACATCATTCATACGAAGACTTCAAG